AAGTTCTGGCCATAAATTTCCCACCTAAGGACCCTGTTGAGCCAAAACTTTAATCACTTTTTGAAGTCTAAGGACACGAGTGTTCGGACAGTTAAAATTAAGTATGTGAACTGATTTGTGAGACAAAGACCCAAGTCCATCAGACTGTCCCACCCGCACAATGCCCATGCAGTAGGCAGGCACTGCTCTTCTCCAGGATCCAGCACCTTGCCGACAACAAAGTGCTCAACAGCCGCTTCAGCTCCCATCCAGGCGCTGGGGCCGGATCCTGCCCCGCCCTACCTAGCAGGCAGGGACCTGGTCCTGCCCTCGCCTGCTGCGATCCCCAATGCGCAGGAGGAGGACGGCAGCACTGCCTCCCCATCCCGTCCTGACCCTGACATGCGCAGCCAACACCTCACCGCAGTCGCCGGTGTCAGATGTCGCCGTCCCATGCACCCTTTTGGTCCTGTTGCCTTTGCTGGAATCACAGACAAAACCAGATTTAAAAAAAAAAATAGTTCAGTGGCAGAGCCTACTTCACTTAGCACCTGATCTGACATCACCCCGGCATCTTAAGGAGCCCATTTCACTATTATCAAGGGAGACACCATTAAGGGCAGCTCACATCGAACCCCAGTAATATCAATGGAAAAGTATTATTTACTTCCCTGGTCCCTTTATTTTGTCCTTGCATAAAAAGTGTAACTTCTTTTTTTTTCCCTGAAAATACATCATTAGAGATTGCAAAGGACAAATGCCTTAACTTTTAAAACAAAAAAATGAACAAATGGTTTAAAAAAAAAACCATTGGCCACCACCCTAAAGAACTCGCTTTGGGAAGTGCTCTTCCTGCGAGCTGATTTCTAATTTGACTATACTTCTGAGTTTAATAAAGCTAAAAATGGCTTCACTTTTATGCTGCACTGCCTTTTGGTTGCTCTATCTGCCATGTATTCATTGCAGAAATGAAAAACTTTATGAAACCACAAGGATACAGCGTGCCTTCATAAAGCAATAAAGGATGACAATCTTTTGGACCAAGGGCCCAAATCTGCGGCCCTTCTGTTCACAGAACCTCCTTACTTGGATCAGTCCACAATATAACATGCAGTTATCATAATCTGGCCCCCACGGAATATGTGACTATCGGCAGCAGGCTGCTGCAAAGTAAGCCACACTGCACATGACCATTAGCTTTATGGTCTACAAACTAGGTAGTTTTATTTCACCCAGTGACAACAGAACAGATTTCCCCTGATTTCAGCAGTGTTTAAGTCTGTCCCAGAGTCCAATCCTGCTCCAGTAACGTCCCAGCCATTCCCTCAGAGGTTAACTCCTTTTATACAGTAAGAGGGAACCAAAGTCTGGACTCCTCTGACCGGCTCCCCAGCTGCCATCTCCCCTTACAGGGCATGAGCCTCCTCCGACCCCTTTCGGGCAGGGGTCTCCCCCGAGCTCCACGCTCAGCACCTGGACCTGGTCCCGCCGAGCACACACCACCCACCTCACTCAGGCAGGATCAGGCCCACCGTCGGCATGAGGTGGACTTACTTGTGGGGTGGCGTGTACCGCATAAGGAGATTTCTTTCTACGCGAGACCATTTTTAGCTTTCAAATTAAGCATCCTCTGTAATCTTAAATATTCTGGTCTCCTGACTCCCAGCTGTGTACTCCTAACAAAACAAAACAAAAAGAATATATTCCAGAAAGGAATAGTTACAGAAAATGAATGTATTCATTATCAGACTGGAAACACCTTGTCTTCAGCAATTAATTTTAAGGGAAGTCAGCAGACCTCGGTGCAACAGGAACACAACCTTATTGGGTTTCAAACACATTTTTTACAATACTGTGTCAGGAAAAGCCATTAGATAGAGTTGTATTGGTAATCTGAGCCATCTTTGGAGAAAAACAAATGCTGTTCTTCCCATTATAGGTAGGTATTGTTTCAAAACCTATAGAGACACGCTTGCTTGTGCTGCAACGGTATTTATTGCACATAGACCAATTACTTACACAGTAGTGAATTGCACCAGAGTATAAATATGTTATAAAACACACACAGAGAAGAAAATGGAAATGACACACAAGTGCTAAAATAACAGCAGATTCACGTGGGCACTTGGAAATAAAAATTAATAAAGTCTCTTAAGATATTTTAATTTATAATACGGATATATTTACAGTACCTTCATAAAATAATATAAAAAAAGTCACTCTCTCAATAAAACTATAACAAATCAGACAAAACCAGAGATCAGGTTCAGGGTCGGTGTTATTCAAACCTCTGTTTCATTTTTAATTTGCGTGTGTGTACGTGTGTGCAAGTAACATCTTCAAATAACTTTACAACTCTTAACACTGCAAAAAATGGCTTTTTCGCCATTTTTAAAAAAAATGTGCAGTAAATTTTTGTTGTTGCCGGGATTTTTCCCCCCCCCGTTCATCTGTAAATACAATGAACAAGCTGCAGAAGGCTCCTCA